TGGAAGTCAGTGTTTCGGTTTCTCAGGAAATTCGGGATCAACTTACCCCTGGACCCAGCAATACCACTCTTGGGAATATACCCAAGAGATGCTCTATCATATGACAAAAGCATTTGTTCAACTATGTTCATAGCAGTATTATTTGTAATAGCCAGAACCTGGAAACAACCAAGATGCCCTTCAATGGAAGAATGGATGAAGAAAGTATGGAATATATACACACTAGAGTACTACGCTGCGGTAAAGAATAATGACTTCTCGAATTTTGCATGCAAATGGATGGAAATAGAAAACACTATCCTGAGTGAGGTGTCCCAGACCCAAAAAGATGAATATGGGATGTACTCACTCATAATTGGTTTCTAGCCATAAATAAGGACCACGGAGTCTACAATAGGTGAACCTAAAGAAGCTAAGTAAGAAGGGGAACCCAAGGAAAAACATATAGTTATCCTCTTGGCTAAGGGAAGTAGACCAAATTTCCGGGGAGAAAATGGGATCTTGGGGGTGGGGTGGGATGGGGTAAGGGGAGATGGGGAGAGAAAAGGTAGAAGGGAAGGAGGGGGGACCTGGGGAAACAGGAGATTTGGGATAAAGGAAAGGTGGATAGGGGAGCACGGAACCACAATTCTTAGTTAAGGGAGCCACTTTAGGGTGGGCAAGAGACTTGACCCTAGAGGGGCTCCCTAGTGCCCAAGATGAGGTTCCCAGTTAGTTCCTTGGGCAGCTGAGGATTGGGAACCTGAAATAACCCTATCCTCGAGCAATACTGACGAATATCTTGCATATCATCATAGAATCTTCATCTGGTGATGGATAGAGATAGAGACAGAGACCCACACAGGAGCACTGGACTGAGCTCCCAAGGTCCCAAGGAGGAGCAGAAGGAAGGGAGAACATGAGCAAAGAATTCGGGACCACGAGGCGTGCATCCACCCACTGAGACAGTGGAGCTGATCTACGGGGAGCTCACCAAGGCCAGCTTGACTGTGACCGAAAAAGCATGGGATAAAACCGGACTCTCTGAACATGGCGAACAATGAGGGCTGATGAGACACCAAGGACAATGGCAGGGGGTTTTGATCCTACTTAATGTGCTGGCTTTGTGGGAGCCTAGCCAGTTTGGATGTTCACCTTCCTAGATATGGACGGAGAGGGGAGGACCTAGGACTTACCACAGGGCAGGGAACCCGGACTGCTCTGTGGACTGGAGAGGGAGGGGGAGAGGAGTGTGGGGAGGGGGAGAAGGGTGGGAGGAGGGGGAGAAGGGTGGGAGGAGGGGGAGAAGGATGGGAGGAGGGGAAGGGAAATGGGAGGCTGGGAGGAGGTGGAAACTTGTTTTTTGTTTATGTTTTTTTTCTTCTTTTTGCAATAAAAAAAATAGAAAAAAAACTGAAAATAATTTACCTTCTCCAAAAGTGAACTAAAAATCATGAGTCCATGAACTTAATTGTGTCAGTGTTGTTTGGAATAAACTTATGGTATGGTGTGTAATGTAACCAAAAACATGAATTAGATGAGATTTAATATGTAAAAACAGTTCTCACATTAAAGATTTGGCCTATGTGTTTCAACAGAGAACTTATAATTTTGTTCCCTTATAGTGTTTATTAAACGATGATTTCTTTCCAGAAATCCATGATTATTATATCTCAAATAACTATCTGGACAACACATAATATGGAAGGAAATGTTGTTTAAGGTATCATGTAGGATTTTACTGTATTTTCATAAATATAATTTAAGTATTTTTTAAATTTAGCATGCTTACAGAATTTTTTCAAATGATTAACCTCTCAACGGTGAATGTCATTCATTGCTTTTATTAATAAACGTTAGATTGGCTTGAGATCAAAATCAGTGAAGAGAGCTATTTACTGTGTCAAACATCTAGAAATACATGTTTATACACATTCAGCTGCTTCTGAGTAAGAAAAAAAGCAGTTGATAGTAAAACCTCGGGAACAACACTTGATGAATAAATCCATTACACCTATTACATTGGGAGACATAAATAAATTATCCAAACAGTAGAAACTGTCAAATTGTCAGAAAGATCAAATGTGTTTGGCAAAATAGTTTAGCATCAGTGTAAAGCATTTTTAAATGGTCAGAGAGGAGAGACAAACAAATAAAAACCCTCTGTACAAAGGACAGCAAGAATAAGGCACAAGGAACAGAATGTTTTTCAAACCATATTCTGTGGTTGTGTTGTGCGTGTACATGGTCTCTCTGTGCTACATCAGGTTCTAATGGAGTCTACTGTCTCCTTGTGACAGTGAAATGAGTAAGGAGTGTGAAACCCGAACTTCAAAGGTTCCATTCTTACTTACTAGGCGTCCTTCTTTACCTATCCCCACATCCTTCACATATAGCGGTTTGTTACTCGTGTTTAAGGAAAAAGAGGGCTCCTAACAGTAGGTCCTCATGGGCATTATAAAAATCTCAGTATTTGCTTTTCATATCAGAATATATGAGTCCATAAGAATCTATCATAACATACTGTGGTAATATTCTACATGCTTAATGAACAATGTCTAGTGTTGAAGCATTTTGAACTCTACTGCTTGCATTGAAAGAACCCGAAAATACTTGCAGTTCTCTCAAAATTTCAAAGTCACAAACAACTGCATGGTGGAAATAAAATTGCTTTCATTTGGGCTTCATTCCACAACTTTTATTTGTTAATCTAATTACAAGCCACAACATCTTTGTGAACCTTGCTAGTAGAAACAAGGTAGAGGTTCAAAGAAGCTTTATTAGATTTTGATCTCCATTTGAATAAAGCTTTCCTTTCCCCACTGCTGCTCTACCTTGGTTGAGTACAACAGGCCAGTGCAGCCCATGATCTCACTGGATAACTTGACTGCTGAGCAGACCACTTGAACTCAGCAAGGGAGAAATTCAGCATTTTAATCTCTCTTGTTTTCATGAGTATCTGTTTAACTAAGCCAGGAGTAACTTCTTCCTGATTTCTGAGGCTCTGCAGATGGTGAGTGTGCGTGTAGCAGGTGAATGGTATTTACTGATACTTTTTAAAAAGCAAATCCTCTAGAGAGAATCCAGGAACAGAAGCTCAGAAGAGATGGATGGTTCTATAGTAAGTATGTCTCTGCACAGCAGCTATGCTCAATTTCTTCTACAAAGTTGATATATTTATGTTGCACATTTTCTCTGCTTCTTATAGTCTTGCCTAAGGAGTTAATTTCCATTGATATTTGCGTGTCTGTGTTAAATTATGACAGTTATGATTGATCTTTAAATGTATACTATTTACACGGGGTCAAATTCCCACTTTTTGTTTTGCTCTTGTCTGCTCATTCTTTTCAAGACATAGATCCTCAATGAACTGATGATGCTTATCATGGTGGATTCCATTGTGACAGAGAAATATTGTAGTTTCATGATGCCCAATACCTCCAGAGACTAACTGACAGCATATATGGCATGACTTCTGACCTGGCTCTCTTGGTTTACTGGTTTATGAAAATGCATGCTTGTTCACATGAAATGTGTAGCCTAGCATAACTTTTTCAGTTATGAGAAAGTAGATGTAGGAATGGCATAGTCTTGTGGAAAACAAAACTACATATATATGGAATTCACTTGAGAATCTGGAATGTGGCAGACATACGTAGCTTATGCGTGGCATAAAATTTATGTTGTTGTATTTACACTAGAGTTTCCATGCTGTATTCCTTGGGCAATCACTATCCCAGCAGTAATGATGTGAGTCTGTGTGTGAACAGCTGTCATCAGTTTTCCTTAATGTATTGATTTTGACTTCATTCACCTGTATTAGCTTCTCTGTAACAATGTCTACCACTTCAGAGATCACTAGTTTGGTTGCTTTGTTCCTGGATTCATATACAGTGTATGATTCTGTAGTCAGAATAATTTATCGGTAATAAATTATTTTGAAGCATTGCAAAGTGATGAACACAAGCTATCACATCTTTTGTAGAAAATTAACTTCTCTCTAATTATTTATATTTGATTTCTTGTGTTGGAAACTACCTAGCATGGGATCTCCACATATTTCCCCAATGAACATGGTTGTTTTCATGTGAATATTTAAAAAATAGGGGTCTATTTATATTTTTTTAACTTATCCTTCTATTGAAATAGTTTTCCTTAAATAATTTCCTAGTTGTGTTTCTCTCAACTCTACTATAACCAATTCTTCCCCATCATTTTCCCATCCAGATCCAACCCCTTTCTTTCTCTCACCAGAATAAAAAAAATGGTTTCTAATTGATAATAATAATAAAAATATATTATATGATGTAGTAAGATAAAACAAAACTACCACAGAGTAATAGAAATAAACAAATAGCTCAAGAAAAGCCAAAAGAAACAGAATCCCCCAAAACACTCAAACTGGAAAATGTATAAATAAGATATAAAAGAAAGAGAGGATGTAAAGTTTTGACATGACATTATGAGACAAGGAATCTCCAAGATGCTGTTAAATTTCGGGGGGTGGTATTTTTTTCAAGACAGGGTTTCTCTGTAGCTTTGGAGCCTGTCCTGGAACTAGCTCTTGTAGACCAGGCTGGCCTCAAACTCACAGAGATCTACCTGCCTCTGCCTCCTTAGTGCTGGGGTTAAAGGTGTGCACCACCACTGCCAAGCTCACTGTTGAATTTTTTGAGGCTTGGCTTGTAGCATACTTTTGGGAGTAGTTCTTATCCTAGTGACAATTCCTTGAAAAACTAAATTTTCATTTGCAAATGGTTATGAGTCAGAGATAGATTCTGGGTTAGGGATCTGTACATGAGTCCACTTCTTATTTCATTTCTAGTACCAAATCAGGTTCATAACTACATGCCCTGTGTATACTGCCTCTATTTCTGCTAGTCCATATGTCCTTCAATCCACATGAGGTGTGGAAGGGTGTGGGGGTATTGGTATTCTACATCATATTTGGGTCTTACACACTAGCTTCCTCCTATTTTTAAATTTTTATTATACGCTATCTTTTTTCATTTCGTGTACAGATCCCAGTTGCCCCTCCCTCCCGTCTTCCTATTCCTTCCACATTACCCCCCCCTGTTCTCCACCTCATCAACTCCTCAAAAAGGATAAGGTATATTGCTTTGAGAAAGGACCAAGTCCTTCATACTACATTTAGGATGAGCAAGGTATCCTTCCTAAGAGAATGGGTTCAAAATGTCATTAGAAGCAATAAGGATTAATCCTGGCCAACTGCCAGTAGCCCCCCAGTCAGCCCCAGGGATACAAATGTCACGTACATTAAGAAGTCCTAGTCAGTCTTCTGCTGGTTCCTTTCCTATCTGGCCAAATTTGGTGAGCTCCTTTCAGCTCAGGCAAGCTGTTTCAGCAGGTATGCTCATCATGGTCTTGACCTCTTTGCTCATATTCTCACTCTTCTCACTCTTCAACTGGACTTTGGAAGATCAGCCCAGTGCTCCACAGTGGATCTGTGCCTCTGCCTCCATCAGTTGCTCGACAAAGGTTCTATGGTGACATTTGTGATAGTCATCAATCAGATTAGAGGGCAAGAACAATTCTGACACGATCTCCACTATTGGTGAGGGTTTTAGATTGGGTCATCCTAGTGGATTCCTGGGAATTTCTTTAGTGGCAGTTTTCTTGCTAGCCCCATAAAAGGCTCCCACAATTAAACTATCTCCTTCTTTGTCCTCTGTCACTGCTTTTTCCCAGTCTCAACTATCCAGTTACCTCTAGTTCCCTTCCCTCATTCATTTCTCCGCTCCTCCTCCCCTTCTAACCTCCCTTCTCCTCCCACCTACATGCTCCCAATTTTCTCAGGAGATCTAATCTATTTCTCTTAGGATTCTATTTGTTACTTTGCTTCTCTGGGGTCATGGACTATAGGATTTGGTTACAGCTAAAATCCACTTATGTGTGAATGCATACCATACTCATCTTTATGGGTATGGGTTACCTCAATCAGGATTGTTTTTCTAGTTTTATCCATTTGCATGCAAATTCCAAGATGCCAATGTCTTTTACTGCTGAGTGGTACTCCACTGTGCAAATGTACCACATTTTCTTTGTCCAATCTTTGGTTGAGGGACACATAGGTTGTTTCTAGGTTCTTGCTATTACAATTAAGGCTTCTATGAAGATATGAACATAGTTGAACAAATGTCCATGTAGTATGATTGAGCATCATTTGTATATATGCCGAAGAGTGGTATTGCTGGGTTCTAAGGTAGGTTGGATCCCAATTTTCTGTGAAATTTCCATACTGATTTCTAGAATGATTGTAAAAGTTTGCATTCCCTCCCACAATGGAGGACTGTTCCTCTTACTTTGCATGCTCTCCAGCATAGGCTGTCATCGGTGTTTTGGATCTTACACATACTGACAGGTATAAGAAGGAATCTCAGAGTCATTTTGATTTGCATTTCCCTGATGGCTAAAGGGTGTTGACCAGTCCCTTAAGTGTCTTTTGGCCATATGGGAATCTTCTATTTAAATTCTCTGTTTAGATCTGTACCCCTTTTTTAATTGTTATTTAGCATTTTGATGTCTAATTGCTTGAGTTCTGTATACATTTTGGAAGTCACAGTCCTCTGTCTGATGTGGGGTTGGTGAAGATATTTTTCCATTTTCTAGGCTGCTTTATTATCTTATTGACTGAGATTTTTTATTTACAAAAGCTTCTCAGTTTTAGGAGGTCCCATTTATTTACTGTTGCTCTCAGTATTGTGCTGCTGAAGTTATTATATTTAGGAAGTGGTCTCCTGTGCTCTTGCATTAAAAGTTGCTTCCCACTTTCTCTTCTATCAGGTTCAGTGTAGTATGATTTATAATGAGGTCTCTAAACCATTGGGACTTGAGTTTTGTGCTTGAAAATAGATATGAATCTATTTTCATTCTTCTACATGTTGACATCCAGTTGTGCCAGCATGGATTGTTGAAGATGCTTTCATTTTTCCATTGTATAATTTTAACTTCTTTGTTAAAAATTAGGTATTTGTAGGTGTGTCGATTAATATACAGATCTTCAATGCTACACAACTTATGTTTGACATATTTTTATTTGACAGCAGTGTATGCCCGCATGGTTGCAGCTTTTCAGCTCATGTGTCTTCAGCCTATGGTTTCTAAAGAAAAACTTGCCATGAGGATAGATAATTAAGGACACAGGTGAAGCCTGGAACTTCACATGAAGATAATCTGGCTCCAACTCACATACCCCATTTAGGCCCACAGATCTGAAGCTTAACTTTTCCTACTTGGTTTAATACTTCCAGCACACAGATTTTTAGTATAGACTGTATTTGGAGTATGCCTTTTAGAATAATGATAAGCAAGAACACATCATATTTTGGGACGAACTCTTGTATCCTTAGTCTAAGTAAAGAAATTTTTACGTGGGCACTTAATAAACTCTTTCCTTTCGTGACAGGGAATCTTGACATTCCAGGATGTGGCAATTGATTTCTCTCCAGATGAGTGGGACTGCCTTGACTTTGCACAAAGGGCTTTGTACAGGGAAGTCATGTTGGAGAACTACAGTAACATGGTCTCTGTGGGTGAGACATTTTTCTTTCCTGATTCCTTCTTTATCATATTTGTATCCTACAAGGATGTTTTACATCTATGTCTGAATTGTCTGCCTCACTTTTATTTGCCAATTTAATAAAAATCTTGGAGTTCATTATGTAAATCAAAATGTTTTGTGTAACTTTATCTTGTCAATATATTCCTGACCCCTGGAGATGATATTTATCATTCAAACTTTCATAATACATTTTAGTTTTCAGACACATCATAGATTATATATTGATTTGCATCTTAATGATTCATAATGTGTTTGCATTTGATCCAGTAGTAATTTACAAGGAAACTCAAGGTATACAATATTAACAAAAATGCTTTTGAGTGTGTTAAAATATTTGGTGATAGCAATAAGAAAATCTTATTTGGAATTTTAAATTATAGGCCATCTTATATAATCAGCATGGTAGTTTATGAGAAATCCATGTGATTTATTGTTATCCCAAGTTATGGTCATAGGTCTCTTCCAATATGCAGGTCTTTCAGTGTCAAAACCAGACCTGATCAGCTTTCTTGAGCAAAGCAAAGAGCCCTGGAATGTGAACGTAGGAGAGACAGAAGGCAATGAACAAGGTAATCATAATGAAGCATTGGTACACGTGGGAAACCTAGGGCATGGAGAAATTCTGCCCTGAAGTGGGATGCATGGTGTAGGAGAACCATTATGTTTTCATTGGTTAATCAATAAAAAAAAAACTGCCTGGCCTGATAGGGCAGAATGTAGGTAGGCGAAGTTAAATTCTGGGAGGAGAAAATCAGAGTCAGTGTTAGAGAACCACCATGGAGACACCAGGTCAGATATGCTAAATCTTTCCCAGTAAGCCATGACCTAGTGGTAAACACACATTTATAATAATGGGTTAAATCAAAATGTGAGAGCTAGCCAATAGGAGGCTAGAACTAATGGCCAAGCAGTGTTTCTGTGTGGTTATGTTAGGTGTAACCTAGGGAACAAAAGGCTCCCTATCCCTGTAAGAGATGCACAAATATTTCTACCTAAAATTATGTAAAAATTCACATTGAATGATTATTCCAAATTACTTTATATGTAAAATGCCCTAAGACTTCCTTTGAATAATTAATTTATCTATAAAGCAGAAGTAAAATGATTTGGTGCAACATCTTTGAACACTTCCAGGCCTTGAAATGAGCAATATTGAAATGAAAATTAGCATTAAAAAGTTTCACAGTGTTTGAAGGAGTATTGCTCTGTACCTGTTCATGTCTGTTTGTCTGCTCTCATGAGAGAATCACATGGTTTTCACTGTTGTATAGTCTCACATATAATCAGGAAATATAAATCTTATAGTTGTGTTCATTTTGGAAGATTGTAGAGTTCATTATTTATGTCAGATACTGCAGAACTAAAAAGGGAACTTTTTCTATTTCTGCAAACTATTCTTTAGAAATAAAGACTTATTTAGTGTCATACATGTTATTAGTCTAATTTAATCATCTACTAATCTCTGAATATCAAAATTTATATGTTAATATCCACATAAATGTTGTATATGCACTTGTTTTCATTTGTGTTTTATATCTGTATTGTAATTTGTTTGGGGAAACAAATTTATATATCCACAGTATTTTACTTTTAATACTTTTATTAGTGATTTAAGAATACCTTGCAATGTCATTTGACCAAATTCAACTCTCCAGTCTTCCCATGTTCCACTTCCTCCAGACATGTTTGGTTTTTTCCTCTTCATTTTTTACATTCACAGAGTTCAATCTGAAAACTCCATAAAATTGTGGGTCTTGAGCATGGCCTACAATATGGTTGAACAATCAGAAGTTGCACATTCTTTTTTATTTATTGAAAAAAGGGAAAAAAACAAGTTTCCGCCACCTCCCAGCCTCCCATTTCCTTCCCCCTCCTCCACCCTTCTCCCCTTCCTACCACCCTTCTCCCCCTACCCCCACTCTTCTCCCCCTCCCTCTCCAGTCCAAAGAGCAGTCAGGGTTTTCTGCCCTGTGGTAAGTCCTAGGTCCTCCCCCCTCCGTCCATATCTAGGAAGGTGAACATCCAAACTGGCTAGGCTCCCACAAAGCCAGCACATTGCGTAGGATCAAAACCCCGTGCCATTGTCCTTGGCTTCTCATCAGCCCTCATTGCTCGCCATGTTCAGAGAGTCCGGTTTTATCCCATGCTTTTTCAGTCACAGTCCAGCTGGCCTTGGTGAGCTTCCAATAGATCAGCTCCACTGTCTCAGTGGGTGGGTGCACCCCTCGTGGTCTCGACTTCTTTGCTCATGTTCTCCCTCCTTCTGCTCCTCATTGGGACCTTGGGAGCTCAGTCCAGTGCTCCAGTGTGGGTCTCTGTCTCTATCTCCATCCATCTTCGGATGAAGGTTCTATGGTGATATGCAAGATATTCGTCAGTATTGCTATAGGATAGGGTCATTTCAGGTTCCCTATCCTCAGCTGCCCAAGGAACTAACTGGGGACATCGCCTTGGGCTCCTGGGAGCCACTCTAGGTTCAAGTCTCTTGTCAACCCTAAGGTGGCTCCCTTAACTAAGAATTGTGCTTCCGTGCTCCCCTATCCAACCTTCCTTTATCCCAATCATCCTTTTTCCCCAAGTTCCCCCCATCCTCCCCTTCTCCCTTTTCTCTACCCATCTCCCCTTACCCCCATCCTAAAATCAACATTATTCCCTTTCTCCAAGCATCTTTAAGATAATAGTAGATTCTCAGCAAGGCATGGCTCTCCAGGCCCTTTCTTACTGTCTCCCAGGGATTTTAATCTGGTTTGGGATTGCTCAGGTCTGATACATTCTATCCTAATTACTTGAGTTTATATGGGCAACTGACATGTTGTGTATAGAAAGCACTATTTTCTTATAGTCATTCATGATTTCCTGCCTTGTTATATATTATCACTCTGTCCTGAAAGAGCTCTGGACAGTCCATGGAATAGGTTTGCTATGAACATACTCATTAAAATTAAATATTTTCTTGTTGTTTATACCATGTCCACCTGCCAGCCACCTTGAGTTGTCAAATTCTGCCAGACATTTGGGAATGAAGGCTTAGAGATGCAACAGTCTGTGGGTAAATCAATAGGACAATAAAAATAATTTTAATAGCAGGCAGAATAATGGTAGTAGGTGGTACCTTCTATCTTTTAATAATGCTCTGAAATTAGCATCAATAATCCTCAAATTATTCTGCAAAATAAAAACAGCAGAACACTGTTAAATTCTTTTCATGAGGACAGTTACCTTGATATATAAATCATGTATACACCCAAAATATAAGTGAAATTTATGCCAATTTCAGTATGAACATATATACAAAAGTCCTCCATAAAATATTTGCAACCTATATCCAAACACATATCCAAAAGACAATTTACCATAAAACCTAGGCTTTATGTAAAGACATGTAGGGAGAGATGAAAAATTCAAAATCAATAAATTTAATCTACCACTTGTACAAACTTAAATTCAAATTCCAGAAGTTCATCTTATTAGATGCAGAAAAGCCTTTGACAATATTAACAGCCCTTCTTGATAGAAGTCTTGGAGATATTAGGGGTACAAGAAATATACCTCTACTTAAAAGATGCAATTCGCAGAAAATGTATAGCCCACATCAAACTAAATGGAGAGAATTCAAAGCCTCTCCACTAAAAAGGGGAACAATGCCAGTGTACTCAACTCTTTATATGTACTCAGTACCGTACTTGAAATCTTAGCTTGAACAAGAACATAAATTAAGGAAATCTAGAAGTGATTCATAGCAAAGGAACAAATAAAAGAATGTTATATGTAGAATCTATGATTTTTATGTATAAAATAATATCTTTATGAAGAAACGTGTCCAACTGAGAAACACTTTCACCAAGGATAGGAATGCAAAATTAACTAACAAAAAATCATTATCCCTCCAATATACAAATGAGAAAAGACTTAAATAGAATTCAGGGAAATGATACCTTTCACAATAACCTCAAAAAATAGTTTTGGGTAATTTGAACTGAAACAGTGAAAGACCTTTATAAAAACTTTAAGACATTGAAGACATGAATTGAAAAAGATATTGTAAGATGGAAAAATACACATGCTCAAGGATTGGTCAATTGATATAGTAATATACTGATTCAGTGAAAACCCTATCAAAATTCTAACAAATTCTTCTCAAATCTCAAAAACACAGTTTTCAGTCTCATATAGATACAAACAAAAACCTCACAATAGCTTTAACAACCATGAAAAAATAAAACTATAAACAATATACCATTCAAGAGTTTTAAATTATACTACATTTTTAAAAATAATTAGGTTTTGTATAATAATAATGTTATGGCTAAAACACAGATATATTGATCAAAAAATCAAATTGTAGATACAAACTTATGTCTATTCATCTATTACATTCATTTTGTAAAAGAATCTAGAAAAATTCACTTGAAAAATAAGAGCATTTAATCCTAATCTTACCTAAGCTATTTCCAACAGACCATAAGTCCACAAAGAAAAAATATTTTTCTCCAGAGAGTCTCAGTGGGAATAAAAGTAACACTTACAGGAATTCCCCATAACCAGCACTTGAAGGATATCATCACACAACTCAATGGAATTTTTGTACATTATCCCCCCCCCATAATATTAAGTTTGGGAATGTATTTAGTTTTTTCATGACCTTACAATATATTTATGTACATTACACCTTCAAAAGTTTTGTTTTACTTTGTTTATGCAATTTTGTGGGTACAAATGTGTGTCTTACTCTCTACAAATACTTACTGTGCTTTTTCTTTATTTCCCATTCTTCTCTGACCCTATCTGATTTCTTTGATTCTGATTATACTATATTATTGTTATTCTTTAGATGCTTATTTGTTTTCAAAGAATTGACTGAAATTGGGCAAATGTAGACATAAATAAAGATGGGGATGATCTCAGGGCATTTGAGAGATGAAAAGTCATAGAATATATTTTATGAAAGCATCTATTCTCTGTATAAGAAAAAGAGAAAATGTATCTATGATATAAAAAGATCAGTCCTAGTGAATTTCCTTGATGTCTGAAATTTTATGGATCTCTTCCTTGGGGTAAACATGATTGTCTGTAGACAAGTTAGTAGTAACAGTTTCCAGTTCATCATTTGTTCTTTCCTTATTAATTAATATTCTGTCTTATTCCTTAATATTACTCAATTTTTTCATTTCAAAGGATTGTAGAAATGAGTTAAATCCATTAAGATAATTCAATTTTATCAGTGTATTTTTTTGCACTTTTGTTATAGTCTTTGTATTAGTTACTTATTATCTATTGCTGTGATAAAATTCCAAGATAAAGGCAATATATAGAAGAAAGATCCATGACGATGAATCAGAGGTAGCAGTTGGCAAGGGGCTAGAGCAGCAGTGAGAGGTCCCATCTAGAATCACAACAGAAAGTAGATAGCTCACTGTTGTTATTAGAAAGCTAAAAATTCTCAAAACCAGTGTCCAACGACATAAGTATTCCATTAAGTTAATACCTATTTATCCTACCCATAAATATCCACCAACATTAGACTATGTATTCAGATATCTGATTATATGGGGTCATTTCACTCAAACCACCATAATCTCATTTATTATTTTGAAAATTATGTTTGGAATCTTTTATTAATATAAATTCAATCCTTCCATTTTATAATGTATATAGTATATGTTATAAAAGATATTCTATCCATTTACATTAAGAAGATTATTTCATTAGAATAAATGATTTGAAGTTTACTTTATATAATATGCCATCTTGCATATATGTCTACACATATACAAAATTGTGTCACTTATGTATCTGAAAAACGTTCACCTAAGTATTCTAATTCAGATAATTATATATTTTTCTTTCTTCCAGTTTTATATTCTTATCAAACACAAGACTTATTTTCACAGGAGAATAGACAAGATTGTATCAACAAGTTGGTGTCAGGAATAGCTGTAAGTAGTGACTTTTAAACCTTCCATCCTTAAGGATGATTTCAATATTTGTGAAAAAGAAAAGAGAATGGATTATGTCGTGATTGAAATAATCTCTATTCATCAGCCATCCCAGGTGGTCCTAGAAATCAAGGTCAATAATTTCTACCTTATCTGGAAAGATTTCACATTAGATCGCACACAATTTCAGAAGCAGTTTCTTCAGTAAAAATACAGATAAGTTTTAAAACATGCTTTTCTACAAAGAATATTTTAAAACATGAAAACTGAATGACATGCACTCCATTAAACATTGGCTAGAGTTTTCTCAACAAAATTACATTTTGTTAAAAGCTATTTATGAGATAAATATGAGTTTTTCTCAATCAAATGAGACTGAAAATATATCAAAGAATTTTCAGTCATGAGAAACGTTACACATTCTATGATGTTATTAAAGCCTTTCCTAGGAACTCTTAGAAGAATAGTTTCCAGAATCCTCTTCTTAAAGGGACAAATTCCCAAAAAGTCAAATCACAGTATGTCTTTTCTCATTATAAAAGTTCATAGAAGAAGTCTGTTTTTCCTAAGAGCCAAAGCATACATGATAATTGTAAGGATGATTTTGATTGTAACAAAACTTCTTTTTGTTTCAGCATGACCAGAAACAAGGGAGGCATTATATCAACAATCAAAATGAAGAGAGACAAAACAATTGTATAGAATGTGGAAAGTGCTTCAATAAAGATGCATGCCCCAATATGCATAAGAGAAATAATTACAAAAAGAAGACATACAAATGTAAAGATTGTGGCAAGTCATACACCTGTCAGGCAAATTTTAAAGATCACCAGAGAATCCATACTGTTGAGAAACCTTACAGGTGTCAAGAATGTGGCAAGACCTTTACGTGGGCCTCAGCTCTTCACAGACATCACAGAATCCATACTGGTGAGAAACCTTACAGGTGTCAAGAATGTGGCAAGACCTTTACTTGGGCCTCAGTTCTTCACAAACATCACAGAATCCATACTGGTGAGAAACCTTACAGGTGTCAAGAATGTGGAAAGTCCTTTACCCGGGTCTCAACTCTTCACACTCATCACAGACTCCATACTGATCAGAAACCCTACAGATGTCAAGAATGTGGCAAGTCCTTTACCCGGGTTTCACATCTTCATATTCATCACAGAATCCATACTGGTGAGAAACCTTACAGATGTCAAGAATGTGGCAAGTCCTTTACCTTGGCCTCAGCTCTTCAGACTCATCACAGAACCCATACTGGTGAGAAACCATACAGATGTCAAGAATGTGAGAAATCCTTTGCCACTATCTCAACTCTTCTATCTCATCAAAGAATTCATGCTGGTGAGAAACCTTACAGATGTCAAAAATGTGGCAAATCCTTTACCCAGATCTCAACTCTTCTATCTCATCAAAGAATTCATACTGGTGAGAAACCTTACAGATGTAATGAATGTGGTAAGTCTTTTGCCAGGAACTCAACTCTTTATAAGCATCAAAGAATTCATACTGGTGAGAAACCTTACAGATGTCAAGAATGTGGCAAGTCCTTTCACACAAATTCAAGTCTTAGAAAGCATCACAAAATGCATTTAATGGGTACATTTCATGAAATTTCTTAGTATACCTCACATTAATTCACTGTACAGACCTTCATGCATTAGCCAGCTTATTTCACAGACTCACATCCTTCAATTAATTTTCAAATCTTAGTCAATACTTAGACAGCTACACAGTTCTTATGAATTAGAAACATTATATCCAGATTTGAACTTTATTGTCATCAAACATTTGTTGTAAACAGAATTTATATATCATTGTAAACATGCTATTCAAGAATTAATTGCTATTAAGAGGTAAATATTTCTAGTAGAGTAAATTGAGCAATAACATTTCTTGACTGTAGGTTAAGATAATGTGTGACAAAAACAGCCAATGTCAAACTAGTTCAGATTTTGATGCACATTTAATTTCTTGGCATATGGTTGCTTATGCAATGAGATTATACTTTATATAAACATTATTTTTCTGTGAATTTTTGTGATTCTTAAATAAATATTAGCTTGTTTTAATATTCAAGTCTTTTAATTTGTGTCTTTGCAACACAACAGTTAAACATTTGTCCTAATTTTTATTGCATTTTTTTTCTGATAGTTTATGAAGACTTCCTTGGATGAGCTGGTAGGACAGAGAATGACACACTACATAGATTACTTTAAACTTTGTATAATTGTGGTTCAAATCAGTGTGAGGTAGATGGAAGATATCAATGGGCATGCAAAATTGGATGAGGAAAAGCTACAAGGCAACAACATCAAACAAAGATCTGTAGTCATTTAGGAAAGCAGGGAGTGGGAGAGTTGGCCTTCTCCAGAGAGAAACACACAAACTGATTGTCCAGTAACCAGTGGACATGCCTGAAAACATACAGAATTATAACATTGTATGGAATGCTTTCCTTGTATTTAGGAACATATGTATATACAAATTTATGTATAAAAATAGCAATGCATGAATAAAGGAGATCAACTTGAAAGAGAACAGAGATTGGGGTATATAGTAGAGTTGGAGGTCGGCAATAATTAGTACAAAATTAATCTTATTATTCTGTATATTTTAATTATATAAAATAAGTAATGTGTTTGTATACACCTCCTTGTTTCCCTGTTATACTCCCGACATCTAAAATATCTGCCCTCACAGTTCTGCAAAATTTTTCATCCACTTTTCATATTTTTCTAGGTTCCATTTAAAACATTCCAAAACTGTTTTCCTCATCTTCAGGGAAAAGTCATCTTAAGTGGCATTTCATATTCTTTCTTTCAGTGAATAAATGTTTGACTGTGAAGTATCTTAGCACCTGACCTAAACGTGGGAAGTATGTGACTCAGTTACATAATTTTATTTTATTTTTTTGAGACAAAGTTTCTTTGTGTAGCTTTGGAGTGTATCCTGCAACTCACTCTATAGAATAGGCTGGCCTGATATTAGTTACTTAATTTTAAGAATGATTCATTATAGTTTCTATATTCCCTGTGCACACTATAATTATCTTAGATACCTTCTGTATTAGGGTTTTTATTGCTGTGAAGAGACACCATAACCACAGCAACTCTAATGAAAAAAACCTTTAATAGGGTGTGGCTTGCAGGTTCAGAGATTTATAGTCCATTATCATCATGGCATGGCATGGAGGCAAGCAGGTAGACATGGTTCTTTAGAAGCAACTGAAAATGGAGAAGGAGCTACATCTTGATCCCACAGGGAAGAAAACATGCTCTGAAACACTAGGCATGGCTTGAGTATAAGACACCTCAAAGCTCTCCCGCACCATGACATACATCCCCCAACAAGGACACACTTGCTCTGACAAGAGCACAACCCAATAATATAAGATCTATATGAGCTTACACGGCCAATTGCATCCAATTAACACACCTCCAAGATACCCTTAGAAGGGAGAATAAGCAGCTTCATGGTGTCTCTAATAGAAGAGGTTTTTGAAGAGGAAATCACTTTTATTTTATAGCAAAGCATAATCATTTGGCTGACAAATAAATTTAGAAAAAAATACAGTGAATGCAAAGGAAAAACTACTTTTTCCTTCTGTCCATCTTAGGTTCCTGTTGGGAACTCCGCAACATAACAGAACTTAAGAAGAGAAAAGCATGAAGACTTACCTAGCACAAGCTATCACAACTCCAAGCCTTCCTGAGGAAGAAATGCCTTCAACAGTGCTTTAGACCTGTGATTTTCTACCAGAGTTGATGGAAAGTGGAACATTATAGAGCATGGGACAAAATAAAATTAATAAGAGTCAAGCAAGGGAATGCAAATAGAGAGGGATTTTTGCTCGTGTTCTCTGTATGTGCCTTCATCAGTCTTTAGATATGAAGCTGCTCTTTCCTCCATGGAGGAAATTGTCACAAAGCCCTTACTTTTTAAAATTAAATACTCTTCTCTTTTCTGTTATTTATTTTAAAAGAAAACAATCATTTTGTAATTTACATACCAATCCCAGTTCCCATTCCTACCTCTCCTCCCATTCTCTCCATGTTACCCATCCCAGCCCACCTCCCATCCACTCCTCAGAGCCGGTAAAGCACATTGTTTTGGGGAAGGTCCAAGGCCCTCCCTACTATATCTAGCTGAGCAAGCTATCCATCCAAAGAAAATATCCATCCAAAGAGTAAATCTTCCAAAAAAGACAGTAGAAGCAGTAGGGACACTTCCTGGTGCCACTGCCAGTGGCCCTGCATTCTGCCACTTCCATGCAATTGTAAAACACATTCAGAGAGACAAGTTTGGAACTATGCTGGTTCCTTCCCTGTTCGGCCAGCATTTTGTTCAGCTCCCATGAGCTCATGCAAACTGTTTCTGTAGGTGTCCCCATCATGGTCTTTACCTCTTTGCTCATATTCTCATTCCTCCCACTCTTCAACTGGACTTTGGGAGCTCAGTCCAGTGCTCTGAAGTGGGTCTCTGTCTCTGTATCCATCAGTTGCTGGATGAAGGTTCTATGGTGATATTTAATATTTCCATCTGTCTGACTACAGGTCAAGGCTAGTTCAGGCACCCTCTCCTCTATTGCTTAAAGTCTTAGCTGTGGTCATCCTTGTGGATTCCTGGGAATTTCTCCCGAGCCAGGTTTTTTTGCTAGCCGCACAATGGCTCTCTCAATCAAGATATTTATTTCCTTGCTCTCATCTCTGTTCTTCCTCCATCTGAACTCTCCCATTCCCTCAAGTTCTCCTTCTCCCTCCCCTTCTCTGTTCCTCTCCTCCTCTTTTCTTTCTGCCCTCCCTACTCCCCCACACCCATGCTCCAAATTTTGTCAGGAAATCTTGTCTTTTTCCCCTCTCCAGGTGAATCTATGTATTTCTTGGGGTTCAACTTGATACTTGTCTTCTCTAAGATCATGGACTGTAGGCTCAATATCCTTTTCTTTACAGCTAGTATCCACTTATGGATAACTACATATCATGTTCCTCTTTCTGGGTCTGTGTTGCTTCATGCAGGATGGTTTTCTCTAATTCCATTCATTTGTATACAAATTTCAAGATGTCATTTTTTTTACCAGTGATTAGTACTCTAATGTGTAAATGTGTCACATTTTCTTAATTATTCTTTAGTTGAGGGGCATCTAGATTGTTTCCAAGATCTGGCTATTATAAATAATACTGCTATAGACATAGTTGAACAAATGTCCTTGTAGTATGATTGAGCATCTTTTGGGAATATGACCAAGAATGGTGTTGCTGGGTCCTGAGGTAGGTTGATTCTTAATTTTCTGAGAAACAGTCATACTGATTTCCAGAGTGTTTGTACAAGTTTTCATTCCCACCACCATGGAGGAGTGTTCCCCTTACTCTACATTCTTTCCAGGATAAGTTATCATTGGTGTTTTTGATCTTTGCCATTTTGCCTGGTGCAAGATGAGATCTCAGAGTGGTTTTGATGGCATTTCCATAATAACTAAGGATACTGAACATTTCTTTAAGTGTCTTTCAGTCATTTGAGATTCTTCTGTTTCGATTATTCTGTTGAGTTCTATTCCCCATATTTAATTGGGTTATTTGGAATTTTAATGTCTAATATCTTGAGTTTTTTATATATTGTGGAAATCATTCCTTTGTCTGATGTGGGGTTGGGGTATATCTTTTCTCATTCAGTAGGCTGCCTTTTTGTTTTATTGACTGTGACCTTGCTAGGCTGTATAATCAGCTTCATGGGAAGAGCAGAGACCATCCTCACATCCATTCTTGTGCTCAAAACACTTGTCTAGTCACCGTGTTTTCAGGTAGCATATTCTGAGCACCACCAAATAGGAAATGAGGACAAAGCACTGGGTATAATTTATGAGTTGTATCCGTGTATGATCCTGAAATGGAGCATTTAGTGCAATTATGAATTTAAATATTAAACTCAATATACTCTGTTCTGTGTACATCATTTTTAATTATCTTTTCAGTTATCCTTGTTTACAAATATCTGGAGACTGAAATATACAAGTTAATTCATCTAACTGGAATAGTCTTGACTAAATCTTTGAGACTTTAGTATTTAAAAGCTAAACTTCTAAAGTACATTGGAAAATTTACTCTGACACTTGTAATAACATTATATTTAGATGTGTGTAAAATCTATAACTGATTAAATGCTAAAACCTGGACTGTCCACAACACTAATAACCAGTAGATTTACAACAGAAAAATACATCAGGAACACTGGACAGATTGTCAGATGCACAATGCCAAGAAGGAGCATGCTATTTCCTAAATTCATCCTGGAAACTTCCTTGGTGATTTTTCATATTCAGTGGTGGTTTCCATTAAGAACTCGCTTACATACATGGCAGTGTAGCTTCACTTTGTTTTTACCCAGGTGTTAACTTTGATCAAGCAGTTTTTTCGAGCTATACAGAAAACAGTCCTTCCATAAAGAATTGTTACACCCAGGGTGAGCTTTAATTAGGATCACTAGTCATTTGAAGCAAATGTCTGAATAATCATTCACTTCCTAAGTGTTTGAGGTTCTGCCATTTCAGTATTAGAGTAACTTCAGGTTCCCAGAAGCACTATGCTCAAAGAGTCCACTCAGAAGTGTCTCTGTGAGAAACAGA